CAGTGGGTCAGGCAGTAACTGTGGCTTCATCCCCACCCTGAAGCCAGAGCCAGAGTCAGAACTGGAGCCAAAGCTGGAGCCAGAGCCGGAGCCAGAGTAGGAACATACCCTCTCCACGCTGCCTCACTCTTGATTCCAGGACAAGCCTTTTTTTCCATGTTAAATAGGGGGTGAAGCTTCATCTTGGAATCAAGAAAATACAGTATATCTGATAAAGTGGATCAGAGACTATTAGATGGATCTTCTGTTCTAAGAAGCACATTAGAACATATGTACCCCACAGAAGACACCATGTAGTCCAATTTGAAAAGTTGCACTGCAATTCTATAAATACTGTGGAGTGGGATTTGTGAACCTTACAAGGAAAGTACTGTATGTGGCTGGGGGATCTTGCAGCTTTTGTAAATATTTTCAAAAGAACTAATGGACTTGATCTGGTTTGATGACAGACAGCTCCATAACCTGGAAGCTCTTGAAGAATCAGGGGCTGCAGGCCACAGTGTTTGTAAAGTCAGGTTTCTCTAAGTAGTTGAAAGCCATCTCCTCCTTTTTCCAGGGCCGCTCTGTGAAGGACAGCACCCTCAGGAAAGCTCAGCGGCGCAGTTTCACCCCAGCTAGTTTTCTGGAAGAGGACACGGTAGATTTTCCAGATGAGTTGGACACCTCATTTTTTGCTCGGGTAAGAGAAGCAAGACTGGCCTTGTCCCAATATCTGCAGACTGTAGAGAGCACTAGAGCAGTAGTATCTGTGTGGTCCAGAGACAAGGGCTGATTCTTCCAGAATTGCTTTTGAGTCATTTTCCTCTTGTGTCTCATTGCAGTCCTTCTGATGGGGCTTCTGTTTCTTTGACCAGGAAGGAATCCTCCATGAAGAGCTCTCTACATACCCTGATGAAGTATTTGAATCTCCATCTGAAGCTGCACTCAAGGATTCTGAGGTGAAGCCTCAGGATCAGGCAGACCTGACAGGAGGTGCCTTAGACAAAAATGAACTTGAAAGAAGCCATCTGATGCTGTGAGTTTTTTGCTGATAACTAGCAGAAACTAACTCACAGATTCATAGAAAAGTAGGGCTGAATCAGACCTCAGGAAATCATCTAGTCTAACCCCTGATTAAACCATTCCAGCTAAGTATTTGTCTAACCCAGTGGTTTGCAACTTTTTTGGATGCAAGGCACCCCTCACTGGACTCAAGGTACCCATCCATAACTTTTGTGAATTGAGTGGCAACCAATTTAAAAAATGAATCTATATATTACAGTGCTTACGTCCTTGTAGAGGTGCCAGGCATTGGGGATGGGAGACTGACCAGGCAGGGACAAACTTACCTGCTTATCTCTTTACACCTCATGGCACAGTTCAAAGGATCTGGTGGCTCTTAAATCCTTCCAAGGACGGAGATTCCTTAACCTCTCTGAAAAGCCTGTTCCAATGGTTAACCACCTTTATAGTAGGACAGTTATTCCTCATATCCAAGCTGAATTTCCCTTGCTATAGCTCAAGTCCATTCTTTTTTGCCCTGTCCTTGTGCCCACAGACAATAATATAGCACCACCCTCTTTATAACTTCCCTTCAGGTATTTGAAGACTGTCCTCAAATCCTCCCTCAGTCTTCTCTTATTCTGACTAAATAGTTTCAGGCTTTCCTCATTAGGTATGTGGTCCCCAAATCTGGATGCAATATTTCAGGTGAGGCTTCACCAGTCCTGAATAGTGTGGAAGAATCACTTTTCTTAACTTGCAAGTGTCATAAGTCTGGGACATTTCACAGTGTGGGCCAGATTCTATTCCATCTATTGAGTGTCTAAGTGTGACTTTATTCCATTCTGTTTGGGTCCTAAAAATCCATTAATACACCTACTGGGCGCATCCAGATGAGCATGCATGTGCCTCTTGCCCTATCTCAAACCCCTTTGAGATGGGGCAAAAGGCACGTGCGGGAACAAAAAAATGTTCCCTGTGCTGCAAGTTTGCAGTGCAGGGAGAAAATTAGACCCCTGGATATCCAGGAGTCTAAAAAAAATAGATAAAAAAAGTGGGGCAGGGCATGGTCCCCATGCCCTGAGGCAACTGGAGGCTGGGTCCTCCACATAGATGCTCTGGCTGCCAGAGCGTCTCTGTGGTTGGCCCTTGCTCTGGTGCTGAAGCACGTTGCTTGCCAGGCAGTGCTTCAGCACCAGGGCTCCAGTGCTGGTAAGTAAGGGGTTTGGGGGGGTGGAGGAGGGGGGAGGGGAGTATGGCAGGGACCCCCACTGGCCTCTCCCACTCCCCCAGCCCCTCCCACTCCCCCCGCCCCCCTGATCCCTTTCCTGCCCAGCCAAAAAATGCAGTTTGGCAGACTGGAGTTGATTGAAGATACTGAGGAATGTAAAGCCATCCTGAGTTCTTTGTTTCATGCTCTTCTTTGCCAGCTTTACAGAAACTGGTTAAGAGCTTTCTAGGTCTGTAGTCTGTTTGTCCTGCCAGGTATAATGTGGTCCCAATGAGCAAGTCTTTGGTGCTCAGTGAAATGTTTGGCAATATGAGCCAAAGATGGATATTAGGTCAAGGCATGCAATGTGCACCATAGGTGATGGAGAACAGGTATTAGCATCGTGCAATGTGATTTACAGCAAACAGCAAGGGGATATGAAGACAGGGCTCCTGGATACATCATGCACCATGTCCTCAGATTAATGTGAGCAAGTGGTGAGGATGAAGCACAACCTGCACATGTTCCATGAACATGAGGTGTGGGGTACGCAGTAAGAATGGGGGAGGAGGGCTAGGAGTTTATTTTTTGAAATTGCCTTTTCTTTTTTAATTTTAAGTGTTACTAATTTTAAGTGTTGCTGCTGCCAAAACAGAACAGTGATTTGGTTTTGGAATCTGGTTGCCAGGACTTGAATTTTCTTCTCGTAAAACACCTGGCTGCCAAATAGACATTTCAAAAGAGAAACAATAGGAAATAATATCTCAAAACAACCAAGATCTCAAAAAATCAGGTAACTTTCATACACAATTCATGTAATATTTATTACTTTTAATGATTTCCTTTCTCACCTCTCTTTTTCAAGGGGAAAAGTTATCTGATAATATTTACGGGGAATGGAGAAATAGTCTGAAGCGGTAGCTTTTGACTCTGGTATTTTGATTTTAAAGTCTGATTGAATTGCTTCCTAAGATAAATACACAAAGAAGAAAGAGAAAGGAAGAACAGAAGATAGTTTCTGAGAGATGACAGGCATGGCATGTAACACATGACAACCTAACTTTGCTCCCCAGGCCTTGGAAAACATTTGGTCCTTTGCTTGTATTTTCCTCTTGTCAGTCTACTTGGTGTTGATTTTCAGTTTGCCATTTGGTAATAGCAAAGTGCTTCAAGAGTAGATTTTCTCTGGTGGGATGAGTCAGATTTTCATTAAACATAAATGCAGTAGAAAGGGTAAGGTCAAGGAGCAAATTGATACATTGGATAGGTGATAAGAGCAGAAGTCCTAGATTCCTGTCTCAGGGGAGTTTTAGGGCACAGCAATGGGGATAGTGATGTCATTTAGCTTCCTTTTCTCCTCTTGTTAGGTCAGAACATCTTGTTGGATCAGAAAAGTGATGGTCTCATGGGCTAAGGTTAAATCACAGGTCCCAGCAGGTGGTGGCAATGGTCACAGTGGTGATGCTAATGCTCATCCTTGCCAGAAAGTCAGCACCCAAAAGTGATGGAAACCCAGTACCATGAAAATTAATCAAACAAAGCACACAGTGGTTTATATAAGGACATATCCTTGCATTTTAATAGTATTTTGCTGAGACAGTTCTTTAACCAGGCATCTTAAACCACCTAAAAGCAGTATTTACTTCAGACATCCTATTTATTTTACTTGGTTCTGTGCTTTCATAAAACAACAACTCTGCATAACATACTTGTAACTAAAATAGCCTCTTGTCATCTTCCAACTACTTCACTAATAGTTTAAGAGTTAACCCTTAGGTAGTTTTTAGCTAAGCAAGGGGTGATATGATCAGGTTTGGGTCATGAGACATACCATGAAGTGTGTTTTGGGGGAAATGAGATTGAGTAGAGGGCATTTTTATACATAGATTCATAGATTGAAAGACAGCTGGGGTCAGTCTCCTCTTGAAGATTTTCAGGGTAGGTGATTGCACCACCTCTGGAGGGAGCTTATTCCACAGTCTGGACACTCTAACTGAAGAAGTTTTTCCTAATGTTGAGCCTGAAACGGTCTTCCAGGCATTTGTGGCCATTACTCCTAGTTTTCCCTAAGTGTGCCCTGGTGAACAGTTGATCACCGAGCCCTTGATGTACTCCCCTGCTGTAGCAGTAAACTGCTACCACATAGTTGGGAACCTGTGAGAATGCCTCTGTTGGAAACATCAGTGAATCTGGATATAAGAATATGCAATATATCTTGTATTAGAACAGTTTTGAACCACTAGTGTATGTTGTGCAGTTCATAGCTGGTTATATGGGTGGTGGGTGTCATTAAGCCAGTCGTGCAGTTTGCCACAAACGATATCAATAGGACATCTGGGCGTAATGTGCACAGAATTGCACACGATGCTAACAAGGTTAGGCCCCTGGTGTGTACCCAGCAGTGCAGCAAAAAATAAGAGTAACACATGAAGTGCTGTTTGAAATGGACTTGATGCCACTGAGTCTAGGAAATCATGAAGCAGCTACTGCAAAACATGGAAGAAGAAAGGGTTGTAGTTTCAAGGAACTTTGATGGGAGAAGAGGAACCCTCTGGGGCCTGCCTTCTCCCCCTCTCCCCGCCCCCCCCAAATGCCAGTAGACATTGAACAGTCATTGTCCTCTGCCTTTTGCCATACTTTGGAGAAAGAAAGCATTGCTGTCCCAATTTTATGTTTTAGTCCTCTGGAGCGTGGTTGGCGAAAACAGAAGGAAGGGACTCTGCACCAGCCAAAAGTTCGCTTACGGCAAGAAGTGGTGAGTGTGAGTCCACAAAAACGTGGCCAGCGCATTACTGTCCCTGTCAGGAAGCTCTTTGCTAAGGAAAAGAGGCCGTATGGACTGGGCATGGTGGGCAAGCTGACAAACCGCACCTATCGCAAGCGCATAGACAGCTACGTGAAACGGCAGATTGAAGACATGGATGACCACAGGTGAGAGCAGCCAATCCCTTTCTTTTAAACTTCCATAAAGTAAACTGGTTATTATTCAAGTGTCACTACCTCTTGCTGGGTGGAATAAGTCAGACTAACTCTTTTTAAGTCTGCGCATGTGCATGCACACACATGCATATGTACCCACCAGTACATGTATGGGAGCAAAGTAAATACCACCACCCTTTGCTGGATGGAGTGCATCACTCTTGCTCTGTAAAAACTATTCTTGGTATTGGGAATTAATTCTCTGTTTATATTTTAAATAAAGGAACTCCAAAATAGAATCCTGTCATGAATACTGAAGCCCTTGGGCACTTTGGTATCCTGGCAGTTCTTCCAGTGTGGACTGTGCTGATCCTCTGCGCAGACACACCTGTCTGATTAGATAAATTGATTGGGGAAGGCTGGGAAACTCTTCTCATTACCTTTCTCCCTAATACATTTGTTTAGTTACAGAAAAAGTTTGAATTTCAGCCTGACATGTATTGTTATGAAAGTTTGTTTCAGTGCAACACAAATGTTCATAAAAAGTGAACACAAAATGGACTGAATCTCTGTTCTAATCTGCTATCAGGTTCCCAAATCACTTCCACCAGCTTTGTCCTAGTTCTGATTAAATTTGTACCTGGTCCTCAGTGCTAATGAGAACCATAAATGAACACCACCCATGTTTGTGTGTGTCAGCAGGTATTTCTCTTAGTTTTTGAAGAAAGTCATCCCATAAAATTATTAACATGATTGTATTCCTAAGTCTGATTCTTTGTCTTTCCTTGTCCCTAGGCCTTTCTTCACCTACTGGGTCACCTTTGTTCATTCACTTATCACAATCCTGGCAGTGTGCATCTATGGCATTGCTCCTGTGGGGTTTTCTCAACATGAAACTGTAGATTCAGTAAGTAAATCCTTTGGTGATTTGCCTGAAGTGTGATACTCAGCAACTGTTTATTACTTTGGCCTCTGACTTCATGTCACAATGTGTCACTTAATAGTGTATCACTTTCCAAATCCCAATAACTAGAAATTTGCTAACCCATGGGGAGGCACAAGTGGGCAGGCCTGTGGACCTGCCCACTTTCACACTTGCAGCCACACACACATGCACCTTTATTTACATACTGTTAGATGTGCAACTTCCCAGATCTCCTAGGAAACCTTATTTTCAGGGACAGCAAACTACCAGCACATCAGAAAGGCTTGATTGTGAAATATGATTTCCTGCCATTTGCCCTCATTGGGTAGAAAGCTTCCTGGTAATATCGATATCTGTCTTAGTGCTGCTTGCCTGGCAGCGTTCACATTTAGAAACAGGGTTCCTTGCAGCCTGCTGGCTCAAATAGCACTACACGGCAGTATCAAAGAAAGGAATTCTTTGTATGAAATCCCTGGTATAGGACCAAGGTAGAACTGGGTCCCAGTTATCAGGACCTTTCAGGAACTAGATTTGCAGGCTTGGTTTGCCATGCTTGTTTTTCTCGTCTTGTGTTTCACATTTGTGTTTCCCATTTAACACCTTTAGCACTACTCTCTCTCCCTCATTAGGAACTGGCATTCACAACAGGGTAAAGTTTATTACTGAGTCTGAGAAAGCCATCTACCAAGTCTCCCTGTAAGGGCTGGAGCATCAGCCCTATGATCTTGCTCCTCCCAGAAGGCAAAAACATTCCACAAACCTTGGAAAACTGACTTACCCTCTTCAGGAAAAAGAAATCATTTGTGCTCTCCATCCGCTCATCATTTATGTGCTACAACCAGAGATGGTCTGCGGGGCCCGGGACAAATCAACCTGTACGGGGCCTGGATGCAAAGAAGGCAGCAGCGGTGGGGGAAGGGGGGGGGGGGGGGGGGGGGAGGGGGGGGGGGGGGGGCGGGGAGCGGCTGGACACGAAGCCGGCAGTGGTGGCACAGAGTCACCAGTACTAGGCAGGCCCTGCAGGAGGGGCGACAGCCACCCCACCTGGCTGCACAGGGACCCGGGGCAGTTGCCCTGATTCATGCCCCTCCCTCCCCCCCGACAGGGACAGCCCTTCCTACAACCCACCACATGCTGTCAAAAGCCTCCTTATTTTAATGCAGCTACCCAGCCTTCATATCCTCATACCCCTCCTAAATACACACTGTAGGAGATACTCTTTGAAGTATGGTCCCTCCTCTTCTTTTGCATGTGCTTTATGGGTGGACAGTTTGCAAAACTGACTTTCAGAGCACCATTTTAGAGTAAACAGTGAAGTCAGCATGCAATGAAAAGAAAGGAGTAGCTCATACCTCAGAGCTACAGTATAAGTACTACTTCCCCAAGCTGCTCATCCATGTGGGCACCAATGATACTGCCAGGGGAGAACCTGAGCAGATCAAAAGGGACTACAGGGCTCTGGGTGCAGTGCTGAAGGGGACGGGCACTCAGGTTGTGTTCTCCTAGATCCTTCCTGTCAAGCGGAAGGGTCCAGGCAGGAGTGGATGCATCCTGCAGATCAGTGCATGGCTGCACAGATGGTGTTGCCAGCAGGGCTTTGACATCTTTGAACATGGGATGTTGTTCCAAGAAGAAAGGTTGCTAGGAAGAGACAGGATCCACCTGACAAAGAAAGGGAAGAGCTCCTTAGCAGACAGGCTTGCTAACCTAGTGAGGAGGACTTTAAACTAGCTTCACTGGAGGATGGAGAACAAAGTCCTGGGGTAAATGGGGAAGTGGGTGACCTGGAGGAAGTGCAAGAAGGAGGGGGCAAGTGGAGAGGCCTTCTCATGCTTCCTGAGAAAGTAGGGCAATTGTCGAGTTACCTCAGATGTCTGTACATGAATGCATGGAGCCTGGAAAACAAGCTGGAAGAATTGGAAGTCCTCTCACAGTCATGGAACTGTAATTGGAATAACAGTGATTGGAATAACATATGATTAGAATAACAGAGACCTGGTGGAATAGCTCGCATGACTGGAGCACTGTCATGGATGGGTATAAACTGTTCAGGAAGGACAGGCAGGGTAGAAGAGGAGGAGGAGTTACACTTTCTTTAAAAGATCTGTATGATTGCTCAAAGCTCCGGTATGAAACTGGAGATACATCTGTTGAAAGTATGTGAGTTAGGGTTAGAGTGGGGAACAACAAGGGTGATGTTGTGATTGATGTCTGCTATAGAACACCAGACCAAGAGGATGTGGTAGATGAGGCTTTCTTCAAACAGCTAGCAGAAGTTTTCTGATCACAGGCCCTGGTTCTCTTCAGTCACCCTGACATCTGCTGGGAGGAAAATACAGCAGTGCACAGGCAATCCAGGAAGTTTTTGGAGAGTGTTGGGGACAACTTCATGGTGCAAGTGTTGAAAAGGCCAACTAGGAGCCAAGCTCTTCTTGTCCTGCTGCTCGCAAACAGAGAAGAATTGGTGGGAAATGTAGTGGCAACTTGGGCAGCAGCGATGATAAGATGCTTGAGTTCAGGATCCTAACAAAAGGAAGGAAGGAGAGCAGCAATGCACAGACCCTGAACTTCAGAAAAGCAGACTTTGACTCCTTCAGGGAACTGATGGGCAGGATCCCCTGGGATACCAGTCTGAGGGGGAAAGGAGTCCAGGAGAGCTGGTTGTGTTTTAAAGAAACGTTACTGGGGGCATAGAAACAAACCACCCCAATGTGCAGTAAGACTAGCAAGTATGGCAAAAGACCAGCTTGGCTTAGCAGGGAACTCTTCAGTAAACTAAATCACAAAAAGGAAGCTTATAAGAAGTGTAAACTTGGACAGATAACTAGGGAGGAATCTAAGAGTATTGCTTGGGTATGCAGGTATGAAATCAGGAAGACCAAAGTGCAATTGGAGTTGCAGCTAGCAAAGGACATGAAGGGTAACAAGAAAGGTTTCTACAAGTATGTTAGCAGCAAGAGAAAGATTGGGGAAAGTGTAGATTCTTTACTTAAATGTGGGAGACAACATAGTGACAGATGATGTGGAAAAGGCTGAAGTACTCAATGCCTTTTTCATCTCAGTCTTCACACATAAGGTTTGCTGCCAGACTGCTGCACCTGGCAGCACAGGAGATGAGCAGCCAACAGGGGCAAAAGAACATGTGAGGGATTTTTTAGATAAGCTGAGTGTGTACAAGTCCACAGGGCCAGACAGGACGCACCCGAGGTTGCTGAGGGAGTTGACTGTTGTGATTGCAGAGCTTCTGGCCATTATCTTTGAAAACTCTTGGCGATTGGGAGAAGTTCCAGACAACTGGAATAGGGAAAATGTAATGCCCTACAGGCTGGTTAACCTCACCTCAGTCCTTGAAAAAATCATGGAGCAGATCCTCAAGGAATCCATCTTGTAGCACTTGGAGGAGAAGAAGGTGATTAGGAACAGTCAGCATGTATTCACCAATGATAAATCGTGCCTGACTAACCTGATTGCCTTCTATGATGAGATGACTGGTTCTGTGGATGTGGGAAGACCAGTGGACGTGCTATACCTTGACTATAGCAAGGCTGTTGATACAGTCTCCCAGAGCATTCTCGCAGGCAAGCTAAGGAAGTACAGACTGGATGAATGGACTGTAAGGTGCATAGAAAACTGACTGGAGCATTGGGCTCAGAGTCAAGGCTAATTGGCAGCCAGTATCAAATGGCATGCCCCAGCAGTCAATCCTGGGGGCTGGTTTTGTTCAATATCTTCATCAGTGAGCTGGAAGAAGGGATGGAGTGCACCCTCAGTAACTTTGCAGATAACACCAGGCTAACGAGAGTAGTGGATACACTGGAGGATAGGGATATGATTCAGAGAGACCTCAACAAATTTGAGGACTGTGTGGCATCCCAGTAGGGGGTGCTACTACGCAGAGCCACATGCCTCACTGTGCCAGACCTAAAAACCTTGCTTCAGGAGTCTCCCTCAGGGAGCCTACAGCCGACTGTCTCACTTCCTGGAGAACACCCATAAGCCTGGGGTAATGCTGCCACCACCCAGGCACTGGTCTCTGTTATGACTCTGTGCAGCTTGGGGCACACAGACCCTGTGAACCTTGGAGTTGCTTTGACCACAGGTAATATTTCTGGGTGCCTCTTTCAGCACGAAACATCCCAAGATAACCTCAGGTTGGGCTGAAAGAACACAGACAGGCTCTACTGGCCAAGCTGGGAGCTGAAAGGCTTGCCTCTCCCTCCTTCACAGTATCCAATACCTTTATTGATCAGAGGGGTTGGCGGCGGTGGGGTGGGGGGTGTCAGAATACACTTTGAGCAAACATTATCAATCTGAGCCTTATACAGTCTTGGAGATAATAATCCTTTTAAAATGTGTCTGACCTAGACATAAATCCTAACTCCTGGCTAATTTCTAGTCTTTACTTACAGAGAATCATCCAGGCAGCTGCTTAGATTTACTTTGCTTGTGGCTTTTCAAAATGCCCACTGGAGGAAGAGAACATTCCCCTCTCCTCTCAGAAATTTATCCAGCCAGGTCACCTGGTTGACCACCCTGAACCAAAAAGAAAGCAAGAGAGAGGGAGGTGGGGTTCACTTGAAATGACCCAAGTGAAAGGCAGAGAGAGGGAGATTTCTTCACAGACTAGACCAAAAGAAATCTCATGATGTTCAGTAAAGACAAGTGCAAAGTCCTGCACATAGGATGGAACAGTCCCATGAACTGGTACAGGCTGGGGACCAACCGGCTAAGCAGCAGCTCTGCAGAAAAGGACCTGGGAGTTACAGTGGTCAATAAGCTGAATATGAGCCAGCAGTGTGCCCTTGTTGTGAAGAAGGCTAATGGCATACTGAGCTGCGTTAGTAGGAGTCTTGTCAGTAAGAACCAGAAGTTATTTTTCCCCTCTATTTGGCACTGGTGAGGCCACATCTAGAGTACTGTGTCCAGTTTTGGGCCCCTCACTACAGAAAAGATGCAGGCAAATTGGAGAAAGTACAGTGGAG